GATAGATAGATATAGAGACAGAAAGAGAGAGAGAGAGAGACAGAAAGAGAGAGAGAGGGAGAGAGACAGAGAGACAGAGAGACATACACAGAGGGAGACAGAGAGCAGAGTGATATCCTAATTGAATAACAACATAACTACTAATTTAAGCTACAAGGGCGAGTAATCAGGATCGCATCTAGTAGTTCCGTTCCATGAGATATCTGATTAAAATTTGAAGATCTTCGGGGGGAGGGAGAGGGAGATGCCCCGATTTAATAAGAAGCGCCTCCTCTTCTCCAAGTCATTCGATTCCTTCTGATGTCTTTTTCAGCCCTTGGGTTGATCTTTCCAGGTCTATGACTTGTTCTTTGAGAGGTGAAGGTCCATAAATGTATTTCAGGATAGGTCAGAATGGGCCCAGGTCATCCGATCCCCGTGGAAACTTCTCCGTGGTCTTCTTGAAGCTATCAACCTTCACCGTTCGTTGGAAACAATAGAGGTTAGAATTCAGCTACCTGGGGAAGGAGAGAGAACCTACCTTGGAGGAGAATGTCTTCATTAGCTTTGGAACGCCATCTTGAAGGGAAGATCTTCCACTTTCTTGATGCCACCACTGGCCAAGTCTTCTTCCCTACCATCCCTTGCTACGTTTTACTTGGGTTTGGTGTGGTGTCTCTGGAGAACGATATCCCAAAAAGGAACTTTAATGTCTGGATGTCACCCACCCATTCCTGAGATGCTTCAAATTTGAAGCCCAAACTTTGGGTTGTGGCCAGAGAACTTGCCCATATAATAGACGAAGAGTGGACGTAGCATATTCCAGGCTCTCCGTCTTGATGGAATTACAACTACAAGTAAAAATGAGCAGGCTGACCCTACCGTGAGTTGTAGAAAGTTGCTGCTTGGAGAAAGCTGCTTGGAGAACATCTGCCCCTAAACCATTTTGACCCACGTTTTAGACTCAAATAAATATTTAGGCAAAAGATGGTGTTGTGTATGGAAGATAAGCTAAGAGATGTTGCTTTTCTGCTCGGACAGCCCAAAATCTGTCGCTCAACTTGGGCAGTTTTGATACCGAAACATCTTGTTTTTTTTCCAGAAGACCTCAGGGTGACCAGCATCGGAAGAAGATGGTTATATTGCAGATCTCTTTCTTGATCTTATGCTCTGTGTCTCAAGGTAAGCCCCCGAGCTTGTTCAGGTATGGATAGGGGTATGTGGTACAGCACTCCATATCATGGTGTTCACCAACCACATTGTGGAGGAAGTTCTACGGCATCATCTACCTCCCATGAGCAATGGTCATGGGGTGTAGGACTCACATTTTTGGCCAACAGTCTTGGTATCCTCCGAGACAAAGATCTAAACTTGTTCAAAAATCTGTCCTCTGCCCAAGTCAGTTTCCAAAACATCTCAGATCCTAAATTGACAGGAGCTGAATTTCTAGCTATGAAAGGGAGAAAAACTAGGTTGGATTTCACAGGGACACAAGGCAAACCAAACCAAGGGAATGAAGAAGGACTACCCAACTGAAAACTCAAGGATAAATGTTAGTGCCACTTGATAAGGCCTTGATAAGACCAGACTTGGAATACGACATCCAGTTTTGGTCACCACAATATAAAAAAAAAAGATGTTGAGACTCTGGAAAGAGTGAAGAGAAGGACAACAAAGATGATTAGGGGACTGGAGGATAAAACATATGAAGAATGGTTGGAGGATTTGGGTGTATCTAGTCTTGATGAAAAGAAGGACTAGGGGGGTATGATAGCAGTGTTCCAATATTTGAGGGGCTGCCCCAAAGAAGAGGGAGTCAAGCTATTCTCCAAAACACCAGAAGGCAGGATGAGAAGCAACGGAAATGGAAACCTATCAAGGAAAGAAGCAAGTTAGAAATCAGGAGAAATTTCCCAACAGCGAGGACAATAAACCAGCAGAATAACTTGTCTCCGGAAGTTGTGGATGCTCTATCACTGGAGGGTTTCCAAGAAGAGATAGATTGGACAACCATTTATCTGGGATGGTATGGGCTTTCCTGCTTGAGTAGGGGGTTGGACTAGAAGACCTCTAAAGGTCCCTTCCAGCTCTGATGATGTTCTATGTACCAATCCTTGGCATCAAGAATGGGCATGACCCTTGAGACTTGGCTTAGCCCAAACAAGTCAATGGATAGAAGGTCAAGATTGCGCGACAGGGCGATTCAAGGGGCCGCCTTGGAAGATTGACTTGGGAGGGGGTCATTCCTTGGCCCCTGGAAAGACCTCGCCTTCTTCCGTTTCTCCAGCCACAGGTTGTTTCCGACTCATCACCCCCTCGAAATGGGGAGCCAAGGTGGCCAACTGCTCCCAACCGTTGAGGGATGTCCCGGCTGAGTACGTGGTCATCATCCACACGGCTGGCAGCCCTTGTCGGACTCACCGCGACTGCCACAATGAAGTCAAGATGCTCCAGAACTACCACATGAGCCTCAAAGGATGGTGCGACATTGCGTACAGGTGAGAGGGGAACGGGATGCTTGGAAGTTTGGATGGATGGATGGCCGTTCCCGATATGAACTCTGGATCTCTGGAGTGGAGGGAAACTCCTGAGGATTGCAGGAATGGGCTCAGCTATGTCCTTGTCCTTATTATTATTATTGTTATTATTGTTATTATTGTTATTATTATTGGTGTTGGTGTTGTTGGTGTTTTTGGTGTTTTTGGTGTTGGTGTTGTTGGTGTTGTTGGTGTTGGTGTTGGTGTCGGTGTTGTTATTGTTATTGTTATTGTTGTTGTTATTGTTATTGTTATTGTTATCATTATCGTTATCGTTATCGTTATCAATATCAATATCAATATAGAATGAGGCAGGTTCTTCCTGGAATGTTTGCTCCAATCTGGCCGACAAACCTGATATTTTCTGATCTTAAAGTCTTGCTTAATGTTTTGAGATCAGCCATGTAGCTGGATGAAAAAAACTTACCTAGTCTTAAATGATTTTAAAAATGTGATTGAAATTTCCTTTCCTTTCCTCCTCCACCTCCTACCCTTACCCTCTCTTTCTTCTCCATCCCTATTCCCTCCCTTCCTTCTTCCCTCCCTCTCTCTCTCCTTTACTTCTCTTTCTTCTCTATCCCTTTTCCCTCCCTCCTTTCCTTCCTCCTCTTTCTCTTCCATCCCTATTCCTTCCTTTCTTTCTTTCTTTCTTCCTTCCTTCCTTCCTTCCTTCCTTCCTTCCTTCCTTCCTTCCTTCCTCCAGTTTCCTGATTGGTGAGGATGGCTACGTGTACGAAGGGCGGGGTTGGCGCAATGAAGGAGCCCACACCTATGGCTACAACGACCTCTCCTTGGGGATTGCTTTCATCGGCACTTTTGTGGGTACGTTTGTCCACAATTTCAGATCAATCCTGAGTTACTTGTCTCAGGGAATCTACGTAGCATCTCCTTCCTCCTCCTCTCCTTGAAGGACCAGGAAGTTCGGGAGAAGTTAAGCAATCTCAGCTGAGTTTCTGCAGGGCCCCACCCTTGGGCTTTGCGTGGGATGCCACATGAAAATTGTGGATGGGCAGGTCTCCTCCAGAGCTTCTTCTTTCGAGAAGTTAAAATATCCTTCAGGAAAACACTCCAAGCACTGGCCTGAAGCTCGTTGCAATCCCTAGTTAGAAAACACTTCCACAGTAACAGCTCTCCCTTCCTTCCTTCCTTCCTTCCTTCCTTCCTTCCTTCCTTCCTTCCTTCCTTCCGTCCTTCCTTCCTTCCTTCCTTCCTTCCTTCCTTCCTTCCTTCCTTCCTTCCTTCCTTCCTTCCTTCTTTCCTCCTCCCTCCCTTCCATCCTCCCTCCCTCTTTCCTTTCCTTCCCTCGCCTCCCTTTCCTTTCTCCTTCCCTTCCTTTCCTTTCCTCTCCTCTCTTCTTTTCTCTCCTCCTCCTCTGCCTCCTCCTCCTCCTCCTCCTCTCCCCTTCCAACCCTGATGATGTTCTCTAGTTGGGTCATGAAGTATCTGCAAGAAAACCACCCAGCTCACAGGCCACCAAGGACCCCACAGTTCAACCCAGAGATTGTCAGAATTTCTAGGGAGAGCTGGATAAACATAACCATGTTTCAGCTCCGCTCACAAGCGATCAGTTTATATTAAACCAACATCCTCAGATCTCTCCTTAGACTGGGATGAAATTTTCTCTGGCTCCCTAAAGGAAAGTTGGACTGTTCTGTTTCTTTTCTAGAACGATCCCCTGAAGATAAGGCTTGGAAATCTCTCAGGTGCTTCCTTGATTTCTCAGTGAAAATTGGCTACCTGTCCCCTGAATTTATAATGTTGGCCCACAACGATGTCAGTGACACAGTATCTCCTGGAGAATTTATCCGTGCTGAGATTGCCAAGTGGCCAAACTACAAGCATTCCCGTAACATTTTGAATCGTGGTGGACAATAAACCTCACCGATAAAGAAAATAATCTGATTTTCCTTCATGATGAAGAAAAAAAACTGATTTCCCTTCCTGATCAAGACAATGAACGAATTTTCTGTCCTGATCAAGACAATGAACGAATTTTCCTTCCTGATCAAGAAAATAATCTGATTTTCCTTCTTGGATCCCTAATGAAACTTGATGACTCAAGTTGTGGACTGGCCGCGTTCTGATTTTTGATGGACTTTTTAGGAGTTTTTAACCCACGATCTTCTCTCGTGCCACGATGCACGATGTTTCTTGTATCTTGTCTCGCTTGTGTTTTTTGTTATTGTTCCTCTGTTTTCCATTGTGCCTTTTTTTTTTAATCGTTCCTCTTCAATTAAGTTGAATGTAATATTTTCCCAGTTGTGTTTTTGTTATTGTTCCTCTTCAAATTAGGTCTCACCTTTTCTGGCTGAACTGAGTCCCGGGATGGAAAGAGAATTGCGTTTCATTAGAAAGATAACCCAGGAAAATCCGAATTGTAAATAAAGATAATTGGAAATCTGCAAAGATCTGAGAGATATTGTTTGTAGGGGGCGTGTTATGGGATAAAGACTTTTTAAGGTTGTGACAGATGGAAAGAGACAAGATCTAAGCGGGGGGGAAAAAAAGAAACTTTGTAAATTCCCTAACTCCCTAAGGAAAACCTCCTGCTAATTCATTTCTCCACGGAAATATGGTTTATCTTGCTAATTCCAGATTTTTAAAAAAGGGTGTGTTAGTTACCAAACTGCCCTATTTAAATCACATTTTCACCCCCACGGTTGCACTGGTGAACATTCAGAGCAAGGACTATGTCAACAGAACTGGAAAACCATCAAAGAGGAAGAATTTTGTGAGGTTTTGGGGGCAGGGGGTTGGTCGGACTGATCCAGCGTGGTCGGTCCCCTCAAAATATGCCGAGAAAACCAGGAATAAATCAGGATCTGGTGGACACCATGCAGGAAGTTTCCTTAGCCTTTCGATCTGGCCTCACTTCTGCGTCCGTCCGTTCACACATTTGTTTGGAAAGCATCCGAAAATCCACCTCCAATTTTGTATGTTGGGCTAATATTAGTTTTGCTAACATCCGAGGCCCTAATAGCCAGCCTAACCTTTTGTTTAGTTTGAAGTTATGACTTAGAACCATTTTTCACATTTACGATGGCATCCCCGTGGTCATGTGACCAAAATTCAGATATTCGGCAAGTGACTCATATTTACAACCGTTACTGCATCCTGGAGGGGGGGGTTTGTCACTCGATCCCCTTTTGCGACCTCTGACAAGCCAGATTTGCTTGACAACCGTGTGACTAACTTAAGTGTAGTGATTTATTTATAAACGGAGGCAAGAAATGTTGTAAAATGAGGCAAACCCCTCTTAACACATGTCTTGCTTAGCAACAGAGATTTGATTGCAGTCGTAAGTTGAGAACTACCTGTGTTACCCTTCTCCCTGAAGTTCGAGGGTTGTGGAAGTGACCAAGAATTTTTTTATCTCACTTTCTAAGAGAAGATCTGCGTTGTTCTTTAAAGCGACTGCAGCTTAGACCGACGTGTTCTTTGCAATTCCTCCTGGCACAATGCCGTCAGAAGGCGCCATAAACAGAGCCAGGGCAGCATTGGAAAAGCAGGTTAGGTCACCATCATCCGCCACCCACTTCTTGTACTTCAAGGAAGTGGTTCTTAATGTCTTTTGGGGTTTGCAAGATTTCATTCCGCCCAGCTACGTTTGGGAGCTTCTGCATCTCGGTAAGTCACGGGCCGTGTGTCGGGCTTGGATTTAGGGTTGAAACGGTGGATTTTGGAGCAGAGAAAAGATTGTACAGGGAGGAGGAGGAGGAGGAGGAGGAGGAGGAGGAGGAGGAGGAGAATTTAGGCAATTTGGGAGAATGCAGTCATGAAACTCACGGCGTCCCCTGTTTGGACATGATCAGCCCAAAGGATTATTTCTGCGGGCCACAATCCTGGTATTCCTTGAGTTACGACCAGATCTCTGTTTGCTAAATGAGACAATCATTAAGGGTGTTTGCCCCATTCTACGAGTTTTCTGGCCACCGTTGTTAAGCGAATCACTGCAGTCGTTAAATTAGAAAACACGATGGTTAAGGGAATCTAAGTTGGGCTTGGGCTTGTCGCAAAAGAGGAATCACGTAAACCCTGGCATGTTGTGGTCGTCATCCATTTTGAGTCGGTTGCCAAAGCATCTGAATGTTGATTGCGCCAACGTGGGGGGGAGGCGGCGATGGCCGTTAAGTGGGACAAACGGTTGTTGAGTCACATCTTCCTGTGCTGTTGTAACTTTGGCCACTAAACGAACTGTTGCTAGTCGAGAACTACCGGCATCCCCTGATTGAAAACAATCAGCCCAAAGGAATTTTTTTTAATATTTTTGATCTTGGAGCTGCAATGCTGTTTACGAGACACACAGAAGAACAAGATCTCTTCGCAGAGAATTAATATTGGGATATAATGCGCGGCAATTACGTTAATTACATTGATGCCTCTATTCCTCATCAGTCTGTTTTAGGATCAAAGAAACCATCTTAATAGCAGCTTGCAAACTTGTAAAGCAAGATTATATTGTTTGAAATTCAATATACAGCCTGAGAAGAATTAAGAGAAGGAAGCTACGCAAACATCCGAAGTAGTTTTCCCTTGTCAAAAACCAACTTTCGATAGTTATCATTTCCTGGCCTCAAGGTTCAAATGCCCTTTCTTTCTTTCTTTCTTTCTTTCTTTCTTTCTTTCTTTCTTTCTT